ACACCAATCCCCCCCTCCCCCCTCGACATGGAGACTGTATGTAAATAGGCTGACATGTTTTTTTAGCTAGTGTTTCTGTTTCATCATGAAGAAAAACAGACATTCTGAGGAAGAGGAGGAGCTGCCACTCAAACGACTGGCCCCGCCTCCTGAGGCTCCGCCTCCAGCTGCTTTTTCTGAAAAAGAGAGAAAATGATTAATGACGACGTCACGATCAAGTGATCTGGTGAGGTCATCATGGTTCACATTTGAGTGGAAAATAATTCTGAAATATTCATGAGGAAGAAACCGTCCTCCTCCGCCCACCGTCCTCCTCCGCCCACCGTCCCCTCGTCCTCCTCCGCCCACCGTCCCCTCGTCCTCCTCCGCCCACCGTCCCCTCGTCCTCCTCCGCCCACCGTCCTCCTCCGCCCACCGTCCTCCTCCGCCCACCGTCCTCCTCCGCCCACCGTCCTCCTCCGCCCACCGTCCTCCTGTATTTTTATTGTACACCAAGGAGGCTTTTTTTATTTTGTATTTTATTTAATATTGTGTTTTTGTTTTGTTTCCTGTTTGGTTGCTTGGATCTTGTTAAAGGTTTAATTCTGACATCCAGAGCCTTCATGTGTCAGAAAAGCTTTAAACTGGTTAAAATAAAATGGTTTATAAACCGAAAGTTTGAATGAATTTACTTTATGCAGACTATTAATTTTGAAGGTAGTTTAAACATACGGTGATAATAGCCGAGATTTATGGTGATTTTTCAGCCCTACCTGGACCGCATCATCAAGTAGGAGGAGCTTCAGCTGAATTTAAAAACATCACATGTGCTGCTGCTGTTTCAGATATTCAGGTCAACCAGACGGCAGCTAACCGTTTTCAGAGCTGCTTCACTTCTTCATGTGTTTTTCCAGATAGAATCATCTTAAATTACGGCCGATGACATCATCATCCCAGCAGACATTAGCGCCGCGCTAGTTTCCTGATATAAAGCTGTTGCATCACATCAGTCATTCCTGAATAGAACGGTGACCTTATTCAGTGGAATGATTGTTTATTATTTGTGGCGTGCTTTGGCGGCGCAGTGGTTAGCACGCACAACCCATGGCGCATGTCTGTCACCTCTGTCCTACCCAGTGTCCTGTCAGCCTGCTGTCCAGCCACTAGTGCCGTAAAAAAAAACAAAAAAACAACAACACAAACATAAAAAAAAATGATTGTTTAATATTTAGTGAATAAAAAGCCTTCCACACCCTGTGCTTTGGACATAGTTACCCCTGGCAACCCCACTTCATTTCCTGTCAGCTTTTCACAATAAAAGCACAGGTGAACCTTGCTGTTAAATTGTTGTCTATGAAAAAGTTTTAAATCTCCTTGTGAAGATGAGTTTTTGGAAAAGACCCAAAGGTTCTGAAACTAAGATCCTCTTTGGTTCATCGGGAGCTGCTTCTGGGTGACGGTCGGATTCGACGGGACTTCCTGTAGATCTACAGTAGAGCTGCAGCTAACGATTATCTTGCTAATCGATTAATCTGTCAATTATTGTTTTGATTAATAATCGGATAACCAAAGGTTCCTTAAAGAAGATTTATGAAATTAATCCAGGTGAATCTACTGGAGGAGTTCTGGATTATAGAGCAGATTGACTTTTATCTTAAATGCAAAATGTTAATATATATTTTAAAATGTTTTATATATTTCCTGCTGTAAGTGGGTCGCTCTGTCAGTTAAAGGCACGTTTTATAGTCTCTATACTCCGGTTAAAGATTAATCCATTAATGAATTAGTTGACGATTATTTCAAAAATCTGATTAAAGGTTTCAGCCCAAACCTACACCCTGTCTACTTTTAAGGCTAGGCTTAAAACTTTCCTTTTTGATAAAGCTTCTAGTTAGAGTGGCTCAGGTTATCCTGATCTATCTCTATAGTTCTGCTGCTATAGGCTTAGACTGCTGGAGGACATAGGGACCCCTTTTTTCTCCAGTAAAACTCTTTTATCGGGCCATTTATGTTACGGATCATTCCATCTTAGAAAGCTACGATTGGTGAATTTGATGCAGGACACTTCTTGAGTTCAGCTGGGTTTATTTCTCTGCCGTCTGATTTAACTTTAACGAAAACAGCTCCAATCTGCCAACAGTGAGGTCCAGCCAATCATCTGGGAGTACTCACGCAGTAACTTCCTCTGCTTCTTCTGCAGACAGGATTTGACATAGCGCTCCAGCTCCCGCAGCGTGGAGGGTTTGAGCGTCTCGAAGTCGATCTCGATCTCGTCGGGGTTGGAGTCTCTCAGCGACGGTTCTCTGGACTGGATGATGTGGACGACCCGGCCCAACTTCTCCCCCGGCAGACGGTTGATGTCCAGGCTCAGCTGCCGCTTCTCATCGTACGACATGGGCAGAGACGACTCCTCGCCGTCGTCTCCATTGGCCGATCCGCCTCCCGATGTCTTGTTGGCTTTCTTCGGTTGCCTGGAAACAGAGAGCAGCTCTGATTGGTCCACAGTTCTTCCGCGGCGGCCGGCAGGAAAACGGTGGGAGAAGCCGTACCTGGTGGCTGTGACGGTGCTGTTGGCTTTCCTGGCTGGTGCTTTCTTCTGATTGGCTGGTTTGGGTTGCTGGGCAGCGGCCTTAGGCTTCTTCTCTTCTTCTATCTTGGCTTTGTTGCCTTTGTCCTTGTCCTTCTTCTTTTCTTTGTCTTTCTTCTCTTTCTTCTTCTTTGGCTTGCTGACGGGCGCCTGCGACAGGACGGCCAGCTGCTCGTGCACAGCCTTCAGCTGAAGGAATAGACTGATAATCACAACCTGCGGCATCTGATCACAACCAGCCAGGCCTTGAACTGCTCAGCTACTGATCAATGTACGGCTACACATCAACATGATTCTGACAAAAGGAGGAGAAAACCAGAATGTTCTTGACCTGTGATTGGTCGGCAGCACCAACCTGCTCCTGTAGCTCGGCCAGTCGCGTGGCACGCTCCTCCTCGGAGTCGGAGGATTCGTCGGAGGAGGAGTTGTTGCTGCTGTCGGAGGAGGCGGTGCTTTTACTGACCACCGGGGTGGTGGAAGGGACGGAGACCTCCAGGCCCTCATCGGGGATCTTAGCGAAACGCATCTCGAACACGTCCTGAACACACACACACACACACACACAGGTGAGTGGAGGCGGCGGTGGGCCAGAGGGGGCGCCGTGACGAGACGTACCTGCAGTTTGCGGGCCATGGCCACCACCTCGTGGTCTGGGGGGTTGTACTTGTAACAGTTGGAGAACATTAACCTGACATCGGTGGCGAAGCTCTGCGGGTCACTGTACTCTCCTTTGTCCATTTTTTTCTGCAGACACACAAACGCATCGTCAGCGCTGGAGCTACAGGCTCCGCCCCCAATGGAGGCCGCCAAACAGAATCCTAATACGGGCGGTGAAACATTAGCGCCTCAGAGCGCGGTAGAACCTGATGGCTGTCAGCCATATTCTATGATCTGTGGATCTATGCTCTGGTTAAGATGTTTTTCTCTTTCTTCACCTAAACGAACCGGTTCTACCGGAACCTCAGAGGAGAACCTAAAGCAGAAATCTGTACTCTAGAACAGAACGAGAATCATACGGTGACTCCCCTCAGACAAACTGCATCGCATCGGTTTCTGAAGGATCAAATCTCTTCTGGAGGCTCAACATTTTATTCCCTTTATTTGCTATTATTTGACATTTCAATATAAATCATCCGTCTGGAACACTGACTGAACTCTGCTATTTAACAAAGTGAGAAAAAAAAAGTATCCGCTTATTTTATTCTTTTTATTCAGATCTGAGGTCAGAGGAGGACAAATGGAACATTTTAAAAATGACTCATTGAGATTTAAGACTTTTTTTCTACTTGTAGCTAAAGAACAGTTGTTGTTGACACAAAGTTAAAAGTAGCGTAGCTTAATCAGGCTAACTGAGTGAGCTAAAAGAGGCTAACCTGTTAGCTACAGCTAGCTACAGCGCTACCCAGCTCTCCCCCTTTATATCATGGTCTAACAGTTACTTTGTTCACCAGAAACTGATTTTTTCACTTTTGTTATCGATCAGGTAAACCTTCATCTGTCATTAGACACGCTAACGCTACAGATGCTCCTGACTCGCCACACGGACGCTGCGTGATGTTGTTATGGTTGTCTGTGAAACCCCAGTGTTTTACATCATGTGGCAACGTTCAGCCAATCACGTAGCGTGATGTCACAGACAGGAAGCAGGACCAGAGCAGATCTGGGAGCTACAGCGGTTTAACCCATTAGGTTCCAGTTTAACCCATTAGGTTCCAGTTTAACCCATTAGGTTCCAGTTTAACCCATTAGGGTTCCAGTTAAACCCATTAAGGTTCCAGTTCCTTTCCCTGTTCTGGCCGTTCAGGTCGCCATAGAAACCAGACAGGTTCCAATATTCATCCTGGAAATGTGCTCTGACAGCAGAACCAGACCTGAACAGAACCCTGAGGGGAGGGGCTTACCCGGACCGTGCTGAGGTCCATGGGGTGTTTGATGATGTCATGGTAGTCGTGCAGCTCCAGCGCCTCGGCGTCCACAGGCTTGTAGAAGGGCCAGGCGTAGGCGGCGTGCTTCTTGGACAGCATCTCCTTCAGGATGGCGTCGCAGTGCTTCATCTGCTCGCCCAGCTTCCCGCCCTTCCTGGCTCCCGCCCCCACCCCTCCCACAGCAGGGTCGCCTCCTGCCACCTCCTCTACCGTCTCACGGCGGGTCTTGGCAGGGCGGGCGGCGGCCTCCCGCCGCGATGAGGCCAGTTTGGCCGGTTTGGGGTCCTGAGGGGACGGCGAGTCTGCGCGTCCTGCAGAGATGGCCGACGTGGTGGGAGTGGTGGTGTCAGCTTTCCTCTTCACGCCTTTCTTCTGCTGGACAAACAAACACAGAGAGATGAGACACAGCCACTGAGAAACCGGCCTGATCGCTGCCTGCAGGGGATGCTGTTACCTTGACGACAGGCTGCGCAGACGGCATCATGGTTGCCGGGGGTTGCGGGGCCGGCACAGGGGGCGTGGCAGGCACAGGCGTGGGAGTGGTGGAGATGATGGGCGTCTGGGATGGGGAGGGGTAGGAGGCAGGAGGGGAGGCCGAGGACTCCGCCTGCTGACTCACTGAGGAGGACAGACACACAGAGAGGTTAGAACCTGAGGAGGTGCAGCTTCTGATGGCGGATGTCCCCTCGCCAGCACCATCTCACCTGTGGTGGCGGCCGGCTGTTTGCTCTTGTTCTTCCCTTTGGGCGCCGGCGGCAGCAGAGCAACCTCCTCCTGCGGCATTTGGGCCACCTTCTGTAGGAAGATCTTCTCCAGGGCCTGGGCCATGAGCACGATGTCGTCTGTAGGCTGCAGTAACACACTGGCTGTAACATCACTGGCTTGAGGCTAACATCGGGCT